TCAAAATCAGGAAAGTCAGAACTTAGTACACAATTACATAAATATTTTTGCAGTCTCCTATTCTGGGAAAACCAAAAAAAAAAAACGGGATAGATTTAGAGAAAACTATTATATTGATATTTACTTAGCAAAATATAATTGAGATCAAAATCAGAACTTAGACCACTTAACCTTCTTGGCTTCAAAGAAACTGCAATTATTTCACAGGGTTTAAACAGAGTTCCAGTAATAGTAAAGTTAATGCTATTACGGCAACTCTGGTTAAATTCAGTTTTCTTGTAGCTATAAGCTCCTCTAGAGGTTATTAATATCTTGAGTTCCTAATTAAATACGTATTTTCGTTTTTTAACTTTCAATACTTTTTACTACAAAATATCAATTAGAGTAGACTTTTACAAATTATTCGATTTCAAGCATGCTTAATTTCGCACAAAAATCCACACGTATTTTTAATTTTTTCCCCCATTTTTTTCCTGTTCAGAACGTGTTTTTATTGCAAAAAAAAATGCCATTCAAAGTATTGTCCGTCGGAAGCACGACTTATCGGTCAACACAGATTCTCCATTAACTACCACAAACATTCGATGGGACTTAGCTGTATTTTCATCCAACTAAAACAAAAAATCGAAACCTCCCGCAAATGATGTTTATTTAATACAAATCCATAAAACAATGATCGCTTCAAATATAGGCAACGACTTGCAGGTGGAGGCATCTTTTGTGAACCGAACCGAATTATTTTGTAATTTGTGTATTGTCATATTGTCAGCCTTCGGGACGCCAAAAAGTTATCTTTCATGAACATATCAATTTTCGATGATTTCCAATGTCAACATTTATTTGAATTCACGAGTGTAGAATACAGTATTTCAATCTTTCTCAGATGCCTTTTTCACGAACTTTACACCTGAACAAATCGCTCGTTACGGGGCTATATGCTATTCCAGCCCGATTTTGATTTTCCGAGCAAATACTACCAGAATTCAATTCAAAATTTAAAAAATTCTTTTAACTACCTATTGTTATAATAAGGAATTGCGGAATACCAGCAACAAAAAGGCAACTAATCGCTTTAATGTAAACAATAACACATCTCATATGATACAAAATTTTTGTGTAACATTAGTTCTGTTCGTTGATCAGATGGGCAGTAACACTTTTTACTAAACTTTACTGGAACGTGTTCGATAAGCCAAAAACTCAGTAAAAATTGGTAACGAGAAAGCGTAATTTCGACGTTAACTTTGGAGAGAAAGTTGTACATTCGTGCTGGAAACATTCGACCCAGTAATAACCAGCAAGTATGAAAAGCAGCTGATTTGTGATGGTATGATTGAATTTTTGACAACAAAACAATATTCATTTAAAATTAAAATAATACTAAAACTTTAATATGTATGATACACCAACACAATTAGTGCTTAAAGGCAAATTTGTTAAAACATACTTACTGGTATCAACGATTCAATCAAATAGTTAAGAATTCGGTGGCTATGGAATCATCGCCCACACATCACCCAGCTCGCATTAAGAAATTATAAGTTAGGAAGGCAAGGATTAAAATATATTACTATTTTTTGTACAGCACAAGTTGATTTTTGATTTTTATAATTAACTAGAAAGTAGTGTCGGCCAAATGAGCCGAAAACCATTGCAAAGCAATGTTGTTGCAAATGAAATATTAGTAATATTTACAGGCCTATTCTGCCGAGGTAACAAAATTTACTTTGGTACTAAAAGTTACCTTTAAGTAAATTTTGTTACTTTTCGTATTCTGAGTTCACTCTCACCCTGTAAATTTGTTTCCAGCAATATATGAGGTAACAAAAAATCTACTTCTGATTTTGTGTTGTTAGTATAAGAAAAAATAAAAGCCAAAATGGAAGATAGCGTTTTCATTCAGCTTTTTTTCGTTTAGGCATATGTTCCAAAATTAGGTTCAAACATTTATAATTTAATAAACAAATAAATAAAACTTATTTAATTTGTTGTGCACCGTCTTCTATTTCGATGCAAATGCTCTTATTTTTGACTTTACCAACTGGCAAATGACAAAAAAGTTACAAAATTTACTTTACCAGTAACAGTGAGAATAGGCTTCTGTTTTATAAAAAAAATTCCAATAAATTCTATAAAGTTAACTCTGCTAGATTAAATGGAAATAGACTCTGCTGATTTTCGTATTTCAATTATCCTTCTTGAAAAGCTAAGCGACAAATAGTTGCAAAGGTAACATGAATATTTGTCCTTTATATATATATATATATATATATATATATGGTTTCACGGCTGTGAATCATGTAGAATTTCATCATTGTTGCATTACAATATTTTTAATACAATTGTAGAAAATACTTAAAAGCGGAAAACAATAAACTATATACTATATATATACTCGTATGACACAGTATATGCCTCCCTTTGGGAAAGTATTTACTGTGAGTACTGTCGTCAAATAAGTGACATGATTCACAGCCAAAATTTTGCAGCTATGTAAGAAATAGTATATTAAGTTTTATTTAAAAATTAATTAATTTTCCCAAAAACATGAATGCCAGTTAATTAATAGCCGCAGATATACATATTTCATTGATGCCTTAAAAATTTTATATTTTATGTTTATTTTGTGAAATTTACAACAAATAAAAACTTCAGTATTAAATTTTACCTCACAGGGAAAATGATGCACAAAGATTTACCGTTTGTTGCGGCTTCTTGTCGTTGATTTTTGAATGCAAAATAATTACCGCTATAATCGCGGTGTAATTTTAACATTATAGCATTGACACTGGTTGAGTATAGATCAAAATGGGTCGTCAAACAAGTATTGAGGTGCGCGAATTAATTCTAAAACATTTTAAAAATGGCAAAAGTCAGCGTAAAATCGCGGAAATGTTCAAATTGAGCCAAGGATCTGTTCAGCATATCATTGAGCGCCATGTTCGTGAAAGTCGTGTGTAATATAAAGCTAAAACGGCTCATAATAAAATATTTAACGACTAAACCATATTTCATTGCTAACAATAAAAATGCAAGGTTGAAGTTTGCAAAGAAGCATTTATATAAAGATGAAAGTTTCTGGGACACCGTAATTTTTGCGGACGGAAGTAAAATCAAACTGTTTAGATCAGATGGAAAGAGCTGCGTTGCAACTGCAAAATTTACGTAGCACTGTAAAATATCGTGGAGAGCATGCAATGTTATGGGGATACGTGTCGTCTTCTGGAGTTGGAAATTTGGATTTCATCAATAATATTATGGATAATTCTGTGTATTTGGACATTTTAAAAAGAAATTTGTTGCAAAGTGCCTCGAAATTAAATATTGGCGACAAGTTTCGGTACTATCAAGATAATGATCCGAAACACAAATCAAGCGTTGTGCAAAGTATGCATATTTGGTACTGTCCACACATAGTACAAGCCCCAGCACAGTCTCCAGATTTTAATGTTATTGAGAATCTTTGGTCAGTTTTGAAACGAGAGATTCGAAAATATTTATGAGAGTTAGTTAGTTAGGAAAGCAGTCATAGACAGCAAGGGGTATTTTTTTTAAACTGCATCATTTTCCCTGTGAGGTACAATTTAATAGTGAAGTTTGTTTTTGTTGTTAATTACAGAAAATATAGATAAATAAATATATTTTAATGCATAAATGGAATGTGTATATCTGCTGCTACTAACCAGCCTTCATGTTTTTTGGAAAATTTAATTGATTTTTAAATAAAACTTAATATACTATTTCTTACATAGCTGCAACCCTTTAACTGTGAGCCACTGTAAATTTTGTGTCCACGAATGATCTCAAATCATTATTTAGATAATATAAAATTAAAAGGCAAATATTAGAAAGCGCAGATCAACGAAAAGGAAAGTATATTCACAACTTTTAACTTAATAGAAATTGTTTAATTTTTGTGTGATAGCAAATTTTATTTATTTTTTCTCTTAATTACTAGGCAACGCATCACACACAAAGAAAAATATCTAAAAATTGTTTTAATTTTCATCAATTGTTTTAAATAATTGGTATTTTCAAGTGGCGCCAAACAGCGAAAAAAAAACATGAATGGCGCGCTAATGTTGATGCGGCTATAATCGCGTAAGCGGTTCCAACGCCAATAAAGAAGTTTTAAATATACATACTTATATGCAAATTGACACTGAAATTAGGATATTCACACAAACAACAACAAAATCTAAAGGCGCAATCTGGAATGCATCATTATTAAGGCATATAACAGAAATTATAAACAGGTATATAAAAGCAATTTATGGCGCTACCAATTTTGATTTAACACCATAATATTGGTGATAGTTGACAGTCATAACATTAAAATTTTGGATAACTGCGTAATCACGGCAGAATCACTCTTACCAACACTTGCTACTTTAGACTGTGAGTGCAATTGAAATATGAAGTCCTCTCTCCAGGAACAAATAGCAAAATCTACAAGACATTCATCACTTCCATCATCATCACATCTGATGAGCTGACGTTTGCAGTTATCGAGTGAAAAAATGTTGGTCCGATGAGAAACCAGGTGCCAGAAGGCAACCAAATGTGTATAAAAGTTATACCCGAAGGAATTGATGAATTGCCGTTTATTTAAACGTTCCGAAAATTCACAGACACCTTCATTGGAAAGCATGAAGGTGCATAAACAAATAGTATTGAGTTCGCTTCAGTTTTTCAATGGAATTCGAAATGGACGAATAGTCTTAATATTGGAAGACAAATTAATCATAATGTTAGATCAGTACCAACTTAAAAATTTTTAGCAGAAACGATTATACGACTTTCCATCTTTCATATACATGGCATCAATTTTATAGGGACGAATTAAACCTAACATTTAGTTAAGTGAAGAAATAAATATTTCAATTAAGATGATTCAATGATAATTTTATAATTGAGAAATATACAAGTGATTAACGTATTGATGAGTGCCCTACATATCCCGTATAGCAATCTGCATTTATTTTTTAATTTTTACTCACCATATTTTAGCCAAATGCTTGTATGCCCTTCTAATATCTTGAAATGAGGCATATTTCTGGACACCCAGAACTTTATACGGATCAGTATTGTCAACAGAAGCAATAACAAATGCTAAAAACAGCGATCCAAGACTTAACGAAAAAAACCACTTTATATTTCCGAACATTTTTAAAACATCTAAAGTATATCTTGAAGAAAAATGTCTTAAATCGACGAGCACTTCATACCGAAATATTTTCTTTATCGATTATTTTACAAATCAGCTGGTCATAAATGGCAGTTTCCATAGATGAGGTTATCAAGACAGATTTACAGTGGAGTCAGAAACAAGGCAAACTCACACAGGAACTACTAAGCGAGAATACAACAAGAAAAAGTCTATGCATTTTGTTTTTGGTAGTCATAAAACCGAAACGTCAAATACGAAATTAGTCCAATGAATTTTGTTAGTGTAATCAAACGAAAAGTCAATACTCATTTCTCAATTATCTTACTTGTTTAATAAGTTGGCAAAATGAAATTAGGAAGAAGCAATCATGTTATATGGCAACTACGCCTTCCATAAATTCGTCATGATCAATGGTACTAATCTGTAACTTTTATCGAAACGATTAATTCAATATATCTGTTCTTTTTATTAAATTAATTCCAATGCATTAGAGTTTATCAAATCCAAAATATGTTATGGTTTCCATTTTCGAAACTACGCTGCATGACTATTTGCTCTGCAGATGAACTCTAAATAAGAGAATCGTGCCGCGCTGCTGGGTACTTAGTCAAAGTACAAAGTCTTTATATAAAGATAGCATATCTATGTAATAAAGTCTCCTCGTAACAAAAACCATTAGCCGGCGGCTTAGTATGAACTGTAGGTCCCTTCATTTGTTGGAAAAACATCAAAACGCAAAACCACAAATTGCAGGAGGAGCTTGGCCGAAAATAGCTTTACACATCTAATGAATTTTGTTACTACGAGGCTGAACTTTAATTTTCACCCGCACTTGATATTACAAGCGAACCACTAGGGATTTCGATATGAAACTTTGTAGGAATGATGAGAAAGATATCTTTTTTCTATTTTCTAACAATTGGAATTTAAATATATTCCAGTGTATAAGTTGTTTGTTGTTAAAAATTGTTGACTTAATGACATCATTTAAGAAATGTTCACTTTCTTTGTGCTTTTCCTTTGATGAACGAAAATATTACTTCTATTTGATAAACTGTTCCAGTTATTTTGTTTAAATTAACGAACAATGCAACTTAAATAATTATTAACATATTCAGTTATGATTAAAACAAATGCGCTCTCAAGCTTGGCTTCAGTATAGTCTGGAAGGTGTCGTATTATGTTAAATAAAATATAATAAGTAAGAAATGACATGTAAGTAAAACCATATTTTGCATAAACTAATAGGTGAAAAAGAAAATTTTAACTTAAAAATACTGTAAAAGCGAATTCGATGGTGGTCCGGCCCAGGGTTACAATCTAAAGCGTGGCCAAAGGCCGCCAACATACCAAGGAATTTCACTTTAGAACACAATGCGAACCCAGTGTTGGTCCGGCCCATGCAATCTCAAGCGCAGCCGAAGGCCGCCCATTTATAAAGGCGTTTTAAAAAAATAGTGTGCTAGTCGAAGCCAATGTTTGTCCTTCCCATGGTTATACACAATAATTTACACAATAATTTACACAATAATTTACACAATAATTTACACAAATATTATTCATTATTTTTCTGGAACGCCTGACTAACCAAGTATTTTAAATGTATTAATCAGTTATATACAAAAAAACCCAAGCTCTACACTAAGGTATTATTTTACTGAGTAGTCTGGCAACACCAAAAAGAAGTAATTCTGCATTCATTATGCAAATTTTAAAACTATATAGAAGCTAGAAAAAAGAAAAGTATTTCCATCCATACCAAATTTATATTGTTACGATTTTACTGAATCAACCTCGATTATTTTCTAGATCCTTCGGGTACGATCTCTGGATTGTTAAATAAAAACTCGCCAACTTAATTTGCAGTTTCTTTCGTTATAAAGATTCTATCTAATGTCCTTTATTTTCTCAGTAATTCACAATTCAATTATACTGCCCTTTCTATTTATAATCACTAACATCAACTTTCACAATTTCCTCTACTTAAATGTAATTCCCAACGCGTTCACTTTACGTCTTCACTGATGTTAACGCCAACCAATTTGCTTTGTCACTGCTTGACTTGCAGCTGAGTGTCGCCTTTATATAGCAGTCGGCTGCTCGCAGACGAAAGCGTAGAAGCATCGAATTGTTCGCTATGGAAGGTTCTTGTTTTATCGTACTAGTTATCGGCTTCTCTCTTTCATCTGACATTCGCCTCGCATTTTCGCAACAATATATATATTAAATCAAGCGGCTGAACACTAAAATTTGCCATTTATCCCTTCGAGCGGCAATATTTTCGTAACGGGAAATCCAGCCTTCGCAGGAAACATCGAACGGTTGATTGAGTCATTTACGGGATGAATACAACGACTTATTGACTGTAACAGGGTCAGGACCATAAACGCTATTCACATTTTCTAACGCCTGGCTAGCGCTTTCGCTCTTATCGAAGAAAAACTGTAAAATTAAGTGTATTTTCTCTTTGCTAGTGTCCACCTTTGACACACGCTGAAACAATCTTGAATCACCCACTCACAAAACCATCATTTTAGTACAAAATGTAGTCTTTCTAGCGCCATCTAGCGGAACCCGATCGGACTTATACAACGCGAAACACAGATAATTAGCGCCATCTATTGGAAAAATAATTCATTTCTATTTACTACATCCAGAGAACAGAGAACGTAAATACATATTTACGTTCTCTGCAGAGAACTCAGACAGAGAACCAGAGAACTTAAAATAACGAGAAGCAGAGAACTTAAAATAACGAGAAGCAGAGAACTTAAAATAACGAGAAGCAGAGAACTTAAAATAACGAGAAGCAGCAGAGAACTTGAAATAACGAGAAGGTGCAATTGACTTTTTGTTCGATAGATAAACTCTAATTTTAAAAATTACATCATCATGAAGATATATTTTAAGAAACGAGTAACTGGTATACCTGAAGGCGATCTTTGCAACCCCTGCGGGTTAGGGCTCAAGAATTTACCCGCGGTAAGGCATGCCTGTCGTAAGAGGAGACTAAAATCTAAAAGTTCCCGCGACAGTCGGGTCTTTATACCGGTTGTTGCGGTTACAACAACAACAACAAGGGGATCTTTGCATAACTGTTTTATTTCATGTTCTTATTTTCGAACGATTTCTTCGTAGCAGATAGAAATGGGAAATATAAATAAGAATCCTGTACAATATGTGGTAATAATATATTGTAGATTAATTAACTTTTTCATTGTTCCTTAAATTTTTTATTTTTGGGGGTAATTATAAGAAAATTCAGCTAATGGAGCAGATTCACTGCAATGCACGCTTATCACCTTGCAGCAATAGCAGCAGAAGATATAAGAATATTCAGCAAAACTTTGCGAAGTACAACTGCATTTAGATATTAATAACATTCTGATTCGAACATTAATTTTTTATTTTACTTAAGTCTTTAAATTTCAAAGGAGACGCGATGACGGAAGCGTTCGTAGAGCTGTGGAACTGCGTCATCAACGCATTACACTATTAAACTATTAAAGACTTCTGCATATACGGGTTTGCTTACATTTCACTGATTGTCGAAAACGAATTTAATGTTACATTGTTTTTTTTTTTTTGCTATGCTTATAGACCATGTACCTGAACTATGTAAAAATATTAGAATGAAGACCGAATCTGTGGGACACAGCTTATTTAATACAGCAGCTGATATAAATTCCGAATCCCAATATTTTCTAAGCTAAAAGGAATATTAAAAAAATTTAAACTCAAAGAAATTCATATGCTTAATAAACTTCATTTATTTAAAAATAATTTTATTTTCATACATATGTATATAAAATTAAAGTTCGTGCTGAATTTCAGATTACAGCTTATTTGAAACAAATCTTAAATTCTAATATTTTATGTGAAAGCCTTCCATGGAAAAGCAACTTATTTGCACTTTTGCATTCCAAAATGAATGCAGGGTTGCATAGTAATGTATTTTGACGATTTGGAACTCGCCTTAGTGGTGTTCGACATTTTTTATTTTTATTTAGTCATTCATATTCTCAATTTCATGGGAAACTTAGAAGGCAGGGTTGCATTGTAATGATGCAGTTGCGAAACCGCTTTATTACAAAGTATTTTGACGATTTGGAACTCGCCTTAGTGGTGTTCGACATTTTTTATTTTTATTTAGTCATTCATATTCTCAATTTCATGGGAAACTTAGAAGTTACGAAAAACACTTTGCCTCTGTCGATCACATCTATATGAAAATAAGCCGTTATAAGAAGCAATCGCAAACCATTGTAAGTAGTTGGTACAAATACATGGGAAGTCCAATAACACAATAAGTAGTAATAGTTTGAATTAGTTGAAGCTTAATAAAAACGTTTAATTATTCTTTGCTTATCACCTCCTTTATGAAGCCAATTATAATATCTAAATTGAACAAAATACATGAAATCACAAGTAAATCCGCGTCCGCTAGTAATAATTATGAATGAATGAACTTATTAGCGTGCGCGTCTCCACCCATCACCGATTAAGGGATGTTATATGTATTTCCAATTGAGCTTGAGCAAGATCTTCCAGAGCCATCTGAATTTTCTCAAGCAGAACTTCTCCACTTCTAGCAACTTCATCAAGTCTTTTGGCAGCTTCCTGGTTTTCCACTTCAAGTCTCCTAAGACTTTGATTTTGGAGTTCAGTAGAGCTATCCTCGTTCGGCAAAGATTCAATAAGAGTGTCAATGTCTTTAGCACAGCGCGATATAAGTTGGGCAAACAGCTGAGCGTAATCTTCCTGGGTATTCGTTCTCAAAGGAGTTTGTGAGCCACTTCGGTCAAAATTTGGAAACTTGCTAGGGCATGATGTTTGTTGAATAATACCGATAGCGTTGCAAAAATGCTCAGCTTGCTGTCAAGATGGAAAATAGCACATACATTTCTCATACTATGATTCGAATATATACCTGATTGACCGTATCCTGCAATTGTGTTAATCTATCAGCCATGATTTCTTGTAAATAAATATGTATGGTGTACCAATGCGTTATCGATAGTAAAAAATCCTAATATTTTTCTCATAAGTCCAAGTTTACACGGGGAAACTTGTAGCCGACAAAACACTCGTTTGTAGGGGAGAGAGCGGCAACACACAGTGGCACTGTGCTCGTTTGACACGTTTTGTGTTTCTATTCGTATCTGTCGTTTTTTATTTTGTTTTTCACTTTAAACTGATTGTAGCTGCCTTAAATTTCAAACGAATTAATGTTGTATGTTTAGAAATTGCAATTCGAGTTTTTACTTCAATATTTGTAAGTGCATGCAAACATATATGCCTGGATAATGCCCAGATAATGGAGTTTGCAGATAAAGTTAATTTCTGGCCTATTATCACTGTTACCGGTAAAGTATATTTTGTTACTTTTCTTTAACACCCGAAATTGAATTTGGTATTCTGGTGAACTGGTTACAATGTCTGAAAAAAAATTTGGCAGGACTAATTTTTTCGTCCATGTCGAATTACAATTGCTAGTTGATAAAGTAAAAGAGAAGAATATTCCCATCGAAATGGAAGACGGTGCACAATAAAATTAAAAATTTTAGTAATTTGTTTATTAAATCATTAATATGTGAACTTAATTGTGGAAAATATGCCTGGACAACAAAAAACGGTGAATGAAAACGTTATCTTACAAATTAAAGGGCTATTTTTTAGTCTCGAAAACTTCTTAAAATATGGCCTTTTGCACTTTTTTTTCATCTTCAATGAATTCCAGGCCTTAAATATGCCTACCCATTTTGGTTTTTATTTTTTCTCAACCTAAGAACACAAAATTAAACAGCAGACTTTTTTATAACCTCCTATTTCGAAGGTAAAAAAATATACAGGGTAACAGTGAGCTCAGAATACGAAATGGTGACAAAATTTGCTGAAAGGTCTATTCGTTTCTGTAGATTTTTTCATTCCCTTTTATTTTGTTTCTTATTTTGAACTGATTGTAGCTGTCTTAAATTTCAAATGAATAAATGCCGTAAATTTGAAAGCTGACATTTGGGATTGTACTACAATATTACCATGTATGCATATGCATGGAAAAATATATGTCTATGCGTATATATATATAATTATTAATAAATATTTCAGATAACGTAGTTTCCAGATAAAGTTGAATTAATGCAAGATATGTTAAAGTGTGTAGAAGAAGCCACTGAGTTTGACTATGAGATAGTTGAAGGGATATGTATTTAGATTATACTTTTAAAAGTGTAAAGATGATATTTATTTGAATGTAAAAATATCTATAAGAAATAGATAAATAAAACCTGTGTCTTCCTTCACACACGCATAGCATTTTTATTTCGTAAATATTGAAAAGCGTGAAGTAGACGAAAAATCAAAAGTCTGAAATAAAACGCATAGAGAAAAAAAAAACTAAGAAGGAACAAATGTCAAAAAGATCGCTTTAAGAAAGTGTCTCTGTGTGAAGTGTAAATGCAAATGTAGCACCAAATCTTAGGTGGAACAATTGGCAATCGCTACGCCCCGATGCGGCATTTCCACAAGCGCCCATTTGCGAGTTACGCTCTCTCAATTACGAATGCGAATTACCCCCATTCACACGGCACGCAGTTTGACAGTTTTCGGTTTCGCTCGTTTGTTCCATTTGAAAACGTATGGAAAATGAAAGGTTTTAGTATAAGTTAACAAAATTTTGAATTGAATTGGTTATTTTATGCCGGTTTCTTTAATAATTTCTAATTTTCTTCTTTGGTTTCAAATCGATGTTTTTGTATTAGTGTCGTATATATGATGATTCCACTGTCTTTTGTTTTGATTTGTCAGCTGGTTTCGAAAAAATTTCGATAAGAATTAGAGAATGCATCGATTTGGTCGTAATTTGCATGGCAATTGAGAACGAATTACCCATGTAAGTCGCTCACGAAACTTTGTATGGCGAATTAAATATTTCAGCAAGTAATTGGAGTGCGAATTACGATTGAGAGAGCGAAACACGTAATTGGGCTGTCGTGGAAAAGCCTCTGCTAAAGGCACCAAAGATTCTGAAACTCGATAAAAAAAATCGTTGCAGAATGATCGATGAATAATTATGGAATTTGTTTTGCTGTTTCTTAGTTGTCTTTTTTACATTCTATATTATTGTTTGCCGAGTTGTAGAAATGCGAATAAAGTTATACTCTACCATTATATTTGGATTGTTATTATGGTGTCTTTATGTAGTTTTTTTTCGAAACACTTCTCTTGGGAATTATCCTTCATCGAATGGGAAGAATTTCAATAAATATATGTATCGGTAAAGGATATATAATTTTTTTGAAACGCGGTAGTAAAATTCTCTAACATGTTCATATGTATGCATTTAGGAATCATCCTGTTGTCAACATAGCTCTGGTTGTATGTGGGCATAGATTACAAGAGTCACTTGCTATGATAAAATCGGTTATCCTTTATAACCATTATAACGAAGAAAGTTTGTATTTCTGGATATTTGCTGAAGACAAACTGAAGCCAGAATTTGATGAGCGGTTGAGCGAATGGCGGAGCTTAAAGCATTTTGATTTTGATATAAAACCACTTACTTTTCCTACAATCAACCAAAGAGAATGGAAAACTCTTTTTAAACCTTGCGCATCACAAAGGTTATTTTTGCCGGTAAATATATATATATATATTTTTTTTTATAAAAATATACTTTTATTTGATTAATATAATTTTTGTTGGGATTTCCCCAGCCCGGCAGATATTGTTACACAGCATAATATCATAGCCCTTAACCTTCACTGTGCAAGCGAAGCGTACAGGGGGTTTTCTGTCATGATCCTTCATCTGCTCCCCATGTTCAAATCGAAGTTGCTATACGAATGACTTGAAAGAAAGGTACCGATAACTAGAGCACGTAGAGTAGATGGCTCGAATTCTCAGTATCCCATATCCAAGAATGTTTTCTAATATAGGCTTAGGAGACATCATCTATATTAATTTCCAAAAACTTTTATACCTATTTCATTACGTTTAGGGTTATTTGTCGAATGGCTCAAATCCACAAAAGAATTTCTAAAAAAAAATAAAGACGAAGCCGATGTTTCCTCCTCCCAAGCTAATTTTTTTTAAGCGCGAGTGTTAAAAAATATAGCTTGCTAAAAAGAGTTGCTATGCAAATCGAATTATAATTGAAGTTTTTAGTAAAAGAATATTTTCATATAGAGCTTTTGACAGAGTTAACAGTTACACTTATTTAAACATAAACAAAGTCTGGCGGCCGCGGCAGCCGAGTGGTTAGCATTGCGTAATGCCATTCGGAAGACTCGGATTCAAATCCTGGTGCCATACTAACATCCCAAATAAAAAATTAATTCAAATAAAAAATTAATCTAAATTTTCGAATTACGGTCGCCCCTTCTCAGGGAATACCAACTCCTCCGAGAGTGTTTGTGACATGAAATAAATCCATCAGCCGTTCAGAGGCTGCTTTGTATAAAATTTTGAAAAAACATCAAGACACAAGACCACAAATTGGAGAAGGAGTTGTACCGAAAACAGCTTCAACGGTTAAGAAAAACGCCATTAATAAATATAAAGTAAAATTTCAATGAAAATAATTTAGTAAATTTTTATTTCTTGTATTTATTGTTTGTTATTTAAGAACGTCTCGTTCGTCTCCGGTGCTCAGATTTGTGCAGTGGACTGAATAAACGGTCGGCCAATTGCTTTGTAGGTTGCCAGTAAGGTTTCTTTGTCTTTACCCCGGCTAGCGCTTTTAGTATTTTGTTACGGTTCTGGAGTTCTGCGGTCGTATGCAGAGTACAGGCTGTCATCACATCAAGTTCGAGCCTGTATTTCTTCGTCCAACTAGTGAAAAGGGTAGCCGAGGATTTGGTCTGATGTATTTTAAGTTTTCGTGCAGTGAAGAAGTAAAAAAGGTCGTCTTTTACTTTTGAACAAAGTTGATCCATATCCTGCCAATATCGAGCAATCATCGGCATATGAGGTCGAGGAAACCCCTTCTTTTGGTCGAAATTCTAACGATTTCAAGTAGCTCATGTTCCACCTCTGCAACCCCGGCGATAATGAGGATTCCTCAATGTCCGATAATAGCACTGAATTGTTGACGGTGTCAAAAGCCTTTGACAAATTCAGTGCTACCAAGTCAGTCGTGTAGATGCGGCAGAAATAATTCGTCGGACCAGGGTTGATTTCGTCGCCAGATCTGATGAGGTGGACTTGGAGGAGCCCAGCTGCGAGGTGTTTCTCCATTGGTGATCTTAGACTAATGTTACTTGTTGACATAAACGGGGTTAGATTGCTGAAAGGGTGACAGCTCTTGGCCGGATAAAATCCGGTGTGTAGAACTGGCTGCCGGAGATCTGTTGTTGTTGGTACTGTAAAACATGGTAGCGCTTCCTGGCGGATGGTGGTGCCTGTCAGAATGAATTTATTGAATCGACAATAAATAGAGGATATATGAATATTTAAAAAAAGGAATTTGAAGCAAAGTGCGGAAAGTGGCTTATCTTCGACATGATAACGATCAGAAGCATACTAAGACTTTGGTTCTTGTATTTTTGTCCTAGACACCTACGAGACTTGAATAATAATGAAGAGGCCTTGAGAAGTGTTATGCAGACAGAATGGTCCCAAATCAGGGGTGTTACAGAATTAGATTGTAGGAATTTGCTTTACAGTGCCCAATGGTCAAGACGTCACTTTGAAGTGTCTCAATCCACCTATCCAGCCGTCCTTCAACTGAACTGGTGCAATTCACCATCGCTAGTAGTTCCCTCCGACTTTTCTATAGTAAGCTGTAGTATAACTAATCTCTGTGAAAGTACTATGAGATAGCTGTTCACGTCCAAACCTTCACTGCTTCTATATATTTCTTAGCAATGCAGACGCCCTTTGTTGTTACGTGATGCCTTAAGTAATTCTATTCTTAAATAACAACCACTATTTAGGACTTTTTGAGACCAGTGCCAGCTATCCTCTGGAAAACTTCTTCCAAATTGTCCAGTTGTTGTTGTTGTTGTAACCGTAAAAATATTCCCCAAAGAACTTTTTGGGGAATGTTGCGGGAGTAACAGTCCTTGGCCGGATAAAATTTCGGGTCGTTCCGGTATAAAGACTCGACTGTCGCGGGTACGATTGGATTTTAGTTGTTGTTGTTGTTGTTGTAGCGGTTCACTAACCCCGCTTAGGCACAGGTTTGATCAGTCTAAGTCGCCGAGGTCATCTAGTGGTAGGTCCAGGAAACGAGATGTTTCGACGGGGTTGGACCAAAGGGAGAGGGGGGTTAGATGAGTGAGTTTGAGGGGCATGTGAAGAGGTGGTTAGTGTCGTGCGGAGACTCTCCACATGCAGGGCATACGTTGGGTATGCTGGGGCCTAGTCTGGAGAGGTAGGAGTTTAACCTGCTACAATGTCTAGACCTGAGTTGAGTCAGGATCACGCGGGTCTCTCGAGGCAGCTCGAGCTCGTTGTCTGCTATGGGTGGTGGTATTTCTCTGGTATTACTGGAAAGGAGTCCATGAAGGTGTTGACTGACTCCTGGTTGAATGGCGTTCAGTGCTTGTCGGTACGCCGTCCTGTCCAGCGGTGTGTGTTGCTGGATTGTGTCCTTTAAATCTAGTACTCCCTTTCTGATGTGCCTAGGTGGAGGTTCAGCCTCTATTAGGTGCCTACTGGGGTGCTCCCTGCGGTAGCATCCCAATAGGAACTGCTTGCACAGCAAAGCATTATGCTCCTTAACTCGTAGCATAGAAGCTTCCCTGTGCAAGTGATGCTCCGGCGACGTCAGGAGGTTTCCTGTCGCGGTCCTGAGGGCGGTGTTCTGGCAAACCTGTAGCTTCTTCATCTGCGTCCCGTTCGCCCCCGGCGTCTAAATCGGTGCAGCATAGTTTACGACCGGCCGGCCAATTGCTTTGTAAGTAGCCAGCAAAGTTTCTTTATCTTTACCTCAGGTGCTGCCGGCTAGCGCTTTGAGTTTTTTTTTGTGGCTCTGGAGTTTTGCGCCAATTGCGGTCGTATGCGGAGTGAAAGAGTGCAGGCTGTCTAGAGTTACTCCCACTATTTTTGGGTTATTTGCCGTCGGAATTTTTGTATCATCGACCTTCACATCTAGTTCAAGCCTGATTTTGTCGGTTGGATTCGAAGTTGTCTTGCAGTGAAGAAGTGGGAGAGATCAGCTAGGTAGCCGTTTACTTTCGAGCAGAGGTCACCAATATCCTGGTCGGACGCCATTATCGTACAGTCATCGGCATACGAGGTTAGGGAAACTCCTACTGGTGGTGGAGGGAGTTTCGAGATGTAAAAGTTAAACAGTAGCGGGGAGAGGACACCACCCTGCGGAACCCCCTGTTTAATTTTTCTGGGTTTAGATGTTACACCTCGGAATATTACCGATGATTGTCGACCACTCAGGTAGCCCATGACCCACCTCTGCAACCCGGCGGTAATGAGGATTCCTCAATGTCCGTTAGTAGCACTGAGTGATTGACTGTGTCAAAAGCTTTTGACAAGTCCAGTGCTACTAGGACAGTTCGCGCTCAGGGTCGGTTTTGGTTGAGGCCATGGACTAGCTGGGTGTTTATGGCGTTGAGTGCTATTGTGGTGCTGTGCACTTTTCGGAAGCCATGCTGATGCGCTGCTGGACGCAGATGGTGAGTGAAGGTCGGGAGCAGTAAGGCCTCAAGTGTCTTTGCTACTGGGGAGAGGAGAGTTATGGGCCGATAGGACTCTCCTTTGTTGGCTGGTTTCGCCGGTTTAAGTAGCGGGACCACCCTACCCATTTTCCACACGTCTGTATCTTCAGGGTGGTCAGAGACAAATTGAGGACCCTCGTGAGAAATTCTGCTCCCGCTGGTCCAAGGTGTTTCAGCATCATCATGCTTATTCCGTCGGGGCCGATGGACTTGGAGGCTTTCGCCTTTCCGATGACCCCCTGAACCTCCACCCTGGAGAAATCAAGCACCGCGCTGGTGTTTGGCAGTTTGCGCATACGGTGGGTCACACGTCGTTTCGCTTTGTCTACCGAGGGATGCAGTGTGAAAAGTCGGCTAAAATAGCTCGCGCATCTCTTCGGGTCCGACGAGGCGAGATCACCGAATGAAATTTCCACCCGGTCATCGCGTCTCGTCGGGCTAGACAGTGACTTGACTGTAGCCCAAAGCTTGGTTGCCCCAGAGGAGAGGTTGCAGGTCCTTAGGTGCTCCTCCCACTTTTTCCGCTTATGACTGTTGACAACTCTTCGAATCTCCGCGTTTAAATCCCTGATTAGGGGATTCCCGGGATCGGAGCTTCGTGGGGTGTCGCGCCTGGATGCTAATATCGCCGCTTCTGTCGGAAAATTTGGACGGATTTCCGCAATTCGGCCAGACGGGATGAAGCGGGCGGCAACAACAACAACGTTCACCAGCGGTGACGTCAGTTGGAGTGGGAAGAGCACTGAAGGCGTTCTCAGTAAATTCCGTGAATCCGGGCCAGTTAGCTTTTTTAAAGTTAACAAATGTCCGGTGGTCCGCGGAAACAAAGTCGGGAGGCTTGTCAATTGAGATTTGTATGGGCAAGTGGTCCGACGCTAACGTTAGTATAGGTCGCCAGACTGTACTGTTTATCAGACCAGCACTCGCAATTGTTATGTCTGGCGAGCTTTGGCAATT